AGACAGGACTGTTTCACAGAGAAACTCTGTCTTAAAAAATCAGGAAAAAAAATAAAGCCAAAGGAAAGCAATCACATGGTCACATCGGCGTGTGCATAAAGTGCCAGGGTTCTAACACCCGTTCATCATAAGAGAAAGCCGCCTCTTTATGATAAAAGAGAACTAGAGCCTGGGGGGTGGCTCACTGGGAAAAGATCCTTGCCACCAAGCCTGGCACCCCTTGACCCACGTGATGGAAGGAAAGAAGTCTGCCCTCCGACCTCCGCACGTGCACTGCCATACACGTATAAACACATATGTGCACACACGCACAGATAAATATAATGTTAAGAGTTTTTTTCAAACCTCTTGTAAACGAGGCATGGAGTAGAACTCCTGTCACTCACAGAACACCTGCAGCTCGCCTTGTGACCCCTGGAAATGCGAGTTTCCGTGCCACGAGAAAGGCAAAGAAGCCCACGAGGGCATATTACATGGGTGGAGGAAGACGGCATCAGTGGCTTTTGTTCATAGATCACAAGGCGACATATGTAGAAAATGATGTAGAAAAAGATAGTTAGAAAATTCCTGCCATTTACATAATGTGGGATCTGCAAACAAAACTCAGTTCCTCGGAGCCATTTCATCTCTCCAGTCCCTAGGCAGTGCCTCTCTTTATCCCTGATAGCATCCCTTGATCTGTTGTCTGCAGCTGCTCCTCTGTTGGGAGCTGCCGACCCTCAGACCCTGAACTTTCTATGACCCCTTGTTTGCCAGAGTAAACAACTTGTTTTTTCTATGCTTGCAGCTCATCTGAGCGCAAAACCTTCATGAGTTCCTGATAACAAGCAAGTGGTTTCTGGTGAGCTTGCAGTAGAAAATCCTGAGAGCGAGGGCGTGGCTACTAGTTAAGGAGCGCACTATATAAACTGCCTTGGAACATAATAAAATTGGCATTCTTGCTTCCAGAGTGACCCGCCTCTCTGTGAGTTCTTTACTCCCCAGACCCTTGCCTGACTGTGGTTCCAGATGGTGTGGGCTTCACACCCCTGCATTCTTTTTATTAGTCTTAGACCGTGGCTCTGTCTTCCTCAATTTATTTAACTTGTTTTAGATTGATTTATTTTATTAGCCCACATATATGTCTGTGCACCGTGTGTGTGGTACCTATGGAGGTCAGAGGAATATTGGACCTTCTAGAATTGGAATTACAGAGACTTGTGAGTTCCCATGTTGTGTGGGTGCTAGGCACCAAACCTTGGTCCTCTGCAAGAGCAACAAGTGCCCTTAACCACCAAGCCATCATTGGTTGATTGATTGACTGACTGATTGATTTTCAGGGGTGGGTCTCACTATGTAACCCTGGCTGGCTTAGAACTCCCTATATAGATCAGGCTGACCTCAAACTCATAGAGATTCACCTGTCTCTAGCTCCCGAATGCCAGAATTAAAGGTACATACATACCACCATGATACAGGCTCCCAAAACTTGTCTACACTTGAATTTACATGGTAGCCCAGGCACGTCTTTAACTTGCCATCTACATGAATCAGAATTCCAAGTAGCTGAGACTATTACTGACCTGTGCCAATTAGCCTGGCTTAATGAGATGACTTCATAAAGCACAGAAGTCTGAGTTGGTGGGGTTTTCTCCCTGACCTTAAACACTCCCGTCTCTTGTCTGAGACGCTTTGCGATTACTGGGCTTGTAGTTTGATGTCTGACATCACTTTGGGGGCAATTTCTTAGTTGTTCTTGTTTAAATGCCATTTCTGTTCCCCTTCTGTCCCCTTCTCCTGGTGTTCTCGTCTTACGTATGATATGCTTTGTAGCTGTCCTGCTATGGTGAGGCCGTCTGCTCTGTGTTCTCAGCCTTTCCGTCTCTTTGCTCGTGTTTTGGAGTTTTCTATTGTCACATCTTCAAGTTCAGCGATACAGAGATGATTGTACCCTCAAGCTCTGAGAGTTACTATTGATCCCATCAAAGGCTTCTGTGTGGCTTCTGCATTTTGGTGCTCATGAGAGTGCAGACAGCTAGCTCATGGCTGAGCCCAGGGAGCTCATGGCTGAACACAGGGAACTCATGGCTGAACATAGGGAGCTTATGGCTAAACATAGGGCCTGCACATGCTGAACACAGGGAGCTCATGGCTGAACACACACAGAGAGCTCATACAGGGTCTCACACTCTGAGCACAGGGAACTCACAACAGGGCCTGCACACGCTCACAGTGCAGTCTAACCCCAAGTTATACCCTCAGCTAACAGTCTTCATCTTTGTTACGCGTTTTTCTTAGTCTCCTAGCATTTACTTTGACACTTTCTTGTGATTCCCCTTTCTGCTTACGTTCATCTGTTTTACTTGGAATTTCCCTCCATTCCAGCCCTGAGCATCTTAATCAATGCTTTCAAAGGATTGCTTGTAACAGTGCAACATCCGTGTCACACCTGGCCCTGATATAGATACTTTCCCAAGTGTTTTCCACATCATCCTTGTCACACCTGGCCCTGATATAGATACTTTCCCAAGTGTTTTCCACATCATATCTTTAACCACTTGCGGTGCCTTACTACGTCTGGACAAGTGGACATGATGCATGCATGGCATGAGAGAAAACATGGTAACTGGCCCGAGTCAGTCGTGGGAAGGTGTGTGGCAAATATGTCTGTCCTATAAAACTGGGGTTGTCTTCCCTCTTTGTGACCCTATCCCCTGGACTGTGAACTTCATGGGAGTGCCTCAGTTATTTCTCTCTTTTATTTGGGATAAGATAGCTGAGGGGGAGATGGTGGTGAGGTGGGGGGCTGGGCAGATCCCATCCCTTACATGTGAAGCTGAGGACCGTAAAGGGGAATCCCTCTTCCCTACGTAGGATGAAACTCCAGCAGGGGAACCCCCCACCATGACATCAACGACATCGTTCTTGCTGAGTGCAGGCCCAGTTTAAAAATGGTCCCCTTCGCTTTCCTCTTCCTGCTGCCTATATGGGATTGTCCCTCTGTTCACTGTTCAGGCCCAGGAACGTTCCTGAGGTAAAATATACCAAGTACAGGGTGTCCTCAGTTCCTGCCCTAAGTTCTTCCTGGGCAGTTTCTTCTGAGGGGGCAGGAATTGATGACAATGTGGGTTTTCCCTCCCCAGGACTGGTTTAGGCCTGTGGCTGGTCTTCCCTCCCATGTTTGTGATTGTATCTGGTATCTGTCTCCAGTTTCTCTAATCCAGTGTGTGTGCCTGTGTGTAGGGGGAGCAGGGGCAGGTCGTATTGTATCACATGACTTCACTTCTTTAATAGATTTAGGACTTACTTTTTTTTTTTAAGATTTATTTATTATTTATTATGTATACAACATTCTGCCTCGATGTATGCCCACACGCCAGAGCAGGGCGCCAGATCTTAGTACAGATGGTTGTGAGCCACCATGTGGTTGCTGGGAATTGAACTCAGGACCTCTGGAAGAGCAGCCAGTGCTCTTAACCTCTGAGCCATCTCTCCAGCCCCAGGACTTACTTTTAAAGATTTATTTATTTACTATGTGGGGTATCTTGCCTGCTTGCACCACATGCATTCCTGGTGTGATGGACCCCGAAACTGGACCCATCTGGACAGCTTTTAGCAGCCATGTGGGTGCTGGGAATCGAACCTGGGTCTTCTAGAGGAGCAGTCAGTGCTTTTAACTGCTGAGCCACCTCTCCAGCCCCAAGGACATGGTTTGTCTTGTTTGTTTGTTCAGATTTTTACTTATTAGAGGGTACAGGGGTGACTTCCCAGCTCCTGATATGCCAGACTGGAAATTGTCACCCTTTTACACTGAAGGACTCCAAGTACAAGGATGTGCAGTTTTAGGTTCAAGGTCCCTCAGGCGAGGATTGGGCAGAGGTTAGATACAGCAGGAGAGGAATGGCGTAGCTCTATTGTTTAAAAATTGGTAATTTTTAATTGTGTGTGTGTGTGTGTGTGCACACTCGAGAGACTCAGAGCACACACCCACACTCAGATGTGTCGGCTCTCCCAGAGCTGGAGTGTCAGGCAACCGTGAGTAAAGGGTTGTGGGTTCTAAGAACCAAAACTGGGTCCCCCATATTGTTTAATCTTTGCTCTGTGGCAACAGGACATCTGAGTCCATAAGTTCATAGAATCTTATTTGTAAAATGAAAATACTGGGTGTCTAGGGAGATGGCTCAGTGCTCAAAAGCACTGGCTACTCTTGCAGAGGACCTAGGTTTCATCCCCAGTACCCATATGCCAGCTCACAACTGTCTGTAGCTCCGGTTCCAAGGGGTCCAATACCCTCATGCAGGCATACATGCAGGCCAAAACACCAATGCACAGGAAATAAAAATAAATAAAATTAAAAAATGAAAATATTAACATCAGTAGTCAGTTTCAGCAATGGGATTCTGAGATATGATGAAATTGAATTTAACACCTCTGGATGCTAAGATTCTATAGGAAGTTTGCTTTCGCTATCAGTGATGTAAAGCTGGGCCTTGGGTCCTTGTGTACTTAAAAAACATTTTTTAACATTTTTTTCTTTTCTCTCTCTCTCTCTCTCTCTCTCTCTCTCTTTCTCTCTCTCTCTTTTGTGTGTGTGTAAGTACACCTGCACTCCCCAGCACATACCCACACACAGACAAATACGCAATTAAAATAAAGCCACATGGCTGGGCACGGTGGCATACACCTTTAATCCCAGCACTCAGAAGACAGCGGCAGACCAATCTTTGTGTATTTGAGGCCAGCTTGGTTTAGAGTTCCAGGTCAGCCAGGGGTACACAGCACAACTCTGTTTTAACAGCAGCTGCAGCAGCAGCAGCAGCAACAACAACGTGATAATAATAACAATACTAATAAAGTAAAATTAATATAGAATGGCTGTGAATTTTACAGAGGGGCTCTGGCAGTTCCACATCTGCCCTCTCCCAAACCTAGTGGCAGGAAGGCAGAGGTTTGTGGAGGATGAGTGTCGCACCACCCTGGCCAGCAGCAGACAGGAAGACAAGGACAAACTGTGGACTCACCACTTCTCCTCTTCGACTTGCACTCCCACGGACTGGAACTTACTGGGCGCCTTATTCTCCCCTGGCTTCTCAGGCTCGTCAGCATCATCCACCTGAGGAAAGCATCAAGCAGACAGGGTTGGTCCTTCCCATCACCTCACTCGAGAGACAAATGCGCTTTCTCCTCAGGCTTCGGTGCTGTGTGGGGATGCTCTAGGACTTAGGATGTCTTTCATATTTGTGCATCTGAAGCCAGCAATCACTACGTTAGTTAGCATGCCCTCTGAGTTTGATAATATTTTTTAAAAACACGCACACACATCTGTGTATGTGTGTGTGTATCTGAGTATATGTATGTGCACCATGTATGTGCAAGTGCCTGGGGAGGCCAGAAGGGGGCGACAGATCCCCTGAAACTGGAGTCACAGGCTGTGAGCCATTATGTCAGTGCCGGAACTGAACCCTGATGCTCTGCAAAAGCAACAAGCGCTCGTAACTGTGGAGCCATCTCTCCAGCCCCCAACTCTGCTGATTTTTAATAAAACACAGTTTTACATTGGGCGGTGGTGGTGCACACCTTTAATCCCAGTACTGGGAGGCAGAGGCAGGTGGATCTCTGAGTTTGAGGCTAGACTGGTCTCCAAAGCAAGTTCTAGGGTTACATAGAGAAATTCTGTCCTGAAAAAAATAAAATAAAAAAGAAAGAGAGAGAAAAGGTGGGCTGATGAAATGGCTCAATGTGTACAATCACAGGCTACCAACTGGAATTGAATCTCTAGGAGCCACGTGATAGAAAGAGAGAACCAAGTCCCACATTCGGTCCCCTGACTTCTTGAAGTGAGACACCCCACCCCCCACTAAATAAATAACCAAACGTAATAAAAGAAAAAAAATTAAAGCAAAGTATAGAGTATATACTTGTAAGGTATATGCTAATATCAGGGCAAAAAATAAGGAATAAGCAAAACATATATTTGCTAGAGTATTCACAAAAATCAGTATATGCAAATACTGAGTTTATTGATTTCCCCCCAAAAGAGAACTGATTGGTTATTGATCACAACTTGTGCAGGAATCTATTCATCATATATATTTTTTTTAAGTTTTTGGGGGCTAGAGAGATGGCTGTGAGGTTAGGAGCACTGACTGCTCTTGCAGGGGAGCCACGCCCACGGTGGCAGACATCTGTCTGTAACTCCTACTCAAAGGTAGCCAATGCCTTCTTTTTAACCTCCACAAGCTCCGGCATGCACCCAGGCACATTTCGCAGACAGGCGCACACAAAATAAGTAAATAAAAGCTAAACAGTGCTTTGAGTTTTGAATGATGGATTAGCTATTGAAAATAATAGGAAAAAGAACGGACTAAACGCTGAGGAAACAAAAAGCAAGCGATCATTCCGTGACACTAATTTAGTTCCAGATAGAAGGGCAGGCATTTTAATTGCCATGGTGAAGCGTGTTACATCAACTTTCTCACTGTAACCATGGCGATGTGCATGGTCGAGCGGTACTGAGCATATTCATATTGCCGTGCAGCCACCACCAAGAGCCACGGCAGAACTGTTCAGCATGCCAAGCAGAGACCTGTGTCCACAGGAATCTAGGTTGCGTGTGTCTCGTGATATGGGATGAGGTGGGGTGCCTGCCGTGGTGTTCCCGTGGAGTTCGGAGGACAACTCTCAGGAGCACGGGCTCTGGGTCTCAAGCTCAGATGATCAAGCTTGTGCAGCAAGAGCCTTTCCCCTCAGAACCATCTTGCCAGCCTGGAATTTAAAGCTTTAAACCCCTCATTCTTGGGTGAGCAAGATGGTTCATTGGGAAAAGGCACGCTGCCAAGCCTGTCAAGCTGAATTAGACCCTGGGGCCCGGATAATGGAAGCAGAGAACCCCCTCCTGTAAGTTCTTTTCTGACCCTACATGCATGCTGGGGTGCATATTCCCCCACTCTTCTACACACACGATAAATAAAATTAAACATCTTTACTGTTTCTTAGCGCTGGTGATGTATGCCTGTAATCTCATCATTTGACAGGTAAGGGCATCTCTTAGTGATGGAAGGGAAATTTAGCTGCCAGTGGGAACCAGGAGATGGGGGCAGGGGGTTGGCTTGGTCTCGTGACTCCTATGATGTCACCTACTCCCCAGCTTCAGTGTGATAAGCTCTTTGGAAGACCCCACCACTTGCACTATGGTAACCTGGAGGCTCTTGGAGGGCATCTGACTCCCCTCTATGAGGGAAGGATTAATGGTCCTTAAAGGGGAACTCTGCAGAATGAACTGTGAAAGTACAACATCAGGGTGAAAATGTGCCCACGCCTGGCCTTCAGCTGTGCCAAGAGTGGGTTCAGTGTGTCTGTGACCCATGGTCTGCCCTGTAGAGAGATGTCTGTCCAACAGGCACCTGCAGAAGGCACCACAGACATGGATGCGTCTTAGGGTCCCCCAGATGGGTGCAAAAAAAACAAAGGAGGGGCTGGCGAGACGGCTCAGTGGGTAGCGGACCTACGGCTTGGCCTCAGGACTTGAGTTTCGTGCCTAGGACCCACATGGTAGAAGAAGAGAATCGAGTCCTGAGAGTTGACCTCTGACCTTCACATGTGTGCTGCTGCAAGTGTGTGTGTGTGTACACATACAATAAATAAGATCAGATGATCAGATGGGTGTTATTTTAGAAAACCCACAACACAGAAAATATTTCCTTAGTACTTCCGCTGTGGAGCATGAGTTGGGAAAAGGAAAGAGAGCAAGGAACCGAGAAGTTTCATGAAACGCACGATTAAATAGCCAACGACGACCCTGGGCTTTCCACACTAGTAGTAGCTCCGCCCTTGGTCTGCTACATCTGTGAGTGATGGACCACGTTTTGTTCTCATATGGCATTTCAATAGGGTTAGGCATAGGGCAACCTGATGGTGACCACAGCGATACCACGCCAGGTCGTCTTTACAAATTTGGTATCATGAGCGTGCAAGTGTGTGTGTGTGAATGTGCATGAGTGTGCATGCATGTGGGTAAGTATGCGTGTGTGTATGAGTATGTGTGAATGTGCATGAGTATATGTATTGTGTGAATGTGTGTGCCTGTGAGGATGTGTGTATGTAATATGTGAGTGTGGGTGAGTCCGTGAGAGTGCATGTATTGTATGAGTGTGTGTGTGTGTGTGTGTGTGTGTGTGTGTGTGTGTGTGAGCACGGGCCACAGCACTGCACTGGAGGTGGAGGACATGCTGTAGGTGGTGGGTCTCTCCTTCCTCCCGTGGATTCTGCAGATTGAGCTCAGGCTTGGCAGAAGTATCTCTATGTCCTAAGAAGACACCAAGGACACCACAGAACTGGCATACATAGGAACTCACTGTGGCAGCAGGCACGGGGCCTGCATGGTGCTGAGCCAGATGGGCTCCCGGTGCTGAAAGAAGCGGGCACGAGCCCCATCCTAGCCCACAGCTACCTAAGTGGACATCGGCTTGCAAAGGAAAATTCATTCTCTCCAATGGAGTCTCACTGGGTGGACAAACCACTCGGAAGGGGAGGCCCCGGCCCACAACTACACGAACTCGGTGGTGGGTTTTGGAGGTTTTTGTCTGTAATGCTTTGTCTAGGATTTTTTCTTTTTTAAAACTTACAGGTCGGGGCTAGAGAGATGGCTCAGAGGTTAAGAGCACTGGCTGCTCTTCCAGAGGTCCTGAGTTCAATTCCCAGCAACCACATAGTGGCTCACAACCATCTGTAATGGGATCTGGCGCTCTCTTCTGGTCTGCAGGTATACATGCAGACAGAACACTGTATACATAATGAATAAATACATCTTTAAAAAAAATAAAATAAAACTTACAGGTCTTTTGTTTTATGTTTCGTATGGGAGCTCAGTGTGTCGACAGGTGTATCTACATCTATACATATTTCTTGTGCTTTTTCTTTGGTCCCTTTTTTTCTTTCTATTTGATTTCTCCTGTTTTGGCTTATTTATTTCTGCTTTATTTTATTTTTATGTGCCTGTTGTTTCCTAATGAGACAGAGAAAGAAAGCATGTGTATTTGGCCAGGAGGTGGGGAGGATCTGGGAGGAGTTGGGTCAAAACAAAACAAAACAAAAACAAAACAGCAAAACTGGCGCATTTTTTTAATCCCAGCACTCGGGAGGCAGAGGCAGGCGGATCTCTGTGAGTTCGAGACCAGCCTGGTCTACAAGAGCTAGTTCCAGGACAGGCTCCAAAGCCACAGAGAAACCCTGTCTCGAAAAAAAAAAAAACAAACAAACAAAAAACTAGGAAGAGGTACACATCCTAGTACTCAGATTGTTTCAAGGGTCCAGGGAGCTGTTACCTGTATCCCGATAGAGAGGCATCGGTTTTTCTTGAAGTCTTTCTTCCTGTCCTCGGTGGCGACAGTGGCTATGGTGGTGGCGGTGGTGGCAGCGGCGGCATTATTGCCCATGTGCTGACTCGCTGGGCCGTGGATCTGGGCATTTGCGGCCTCGATGGCGGCCGTCAGAGCCTTCATACTGTCCAGGCTTTCGGTGGAGTTGCTGAGGCCAGACTGGCTGATCATGTCTCCGCGCTGGCCCTGTCCGTCCATGTAGGCGTCCTGCGCAGACTCTGTACTACTCTGAGCTGTGATAGAAATGAAGGGTTTCGTGGTGGCTCTGGGTGGGACTGGAGGTGGTGTCTTCTTATATGTTGTAATGCAAGATGACACTGGAAGACAGCGAAAACAGGCACCGTGATTTCTGCGTGCGTTTCAAGCTTCTGACATCGTCAGTGACAGACAGCCCCTGCAAATCGCGGCACGGGAAAACACTCTCAGGCGCTGAACTTGAACACAAGTCCATGGGCAGAATAAGTGAGGTCTTTGCTGGGGTCGGGTCAGGGCTGGGGGTGGGGGTGGGGGTCATAGAGATGCTGCTTAGGGGTAACACACCACAAAGTAGTGAGAGGAGAAGCCTGGAAAATGCCCACCTCGGAAATGGACGTTTCTAAATGGAAGTTATGCATCAACGTGAACTAGATTGGTCAGTGGCAGTAGCTCAGGTAGCAAGGGAGAAAAGGAGTGGAAGCTCAGAACAACACATACAGCTAATGCCAAACAAAGCAGCCGGCTGGAGTTGATTTGGGTGGTTGGTAATTAACACTGAGGAGGAAATGAGAGGTTGGGAGCACCTGCACGCACACCCTAGTGAGTGTGGCAAGCTTGGGCCACATCAGCCACCGTAGCTCCCCAGATTATACCTGCCAACACTGAGTTCCTCCCTGCCTCCTAATGCCTCTCTCCCATCCTCTGTGGTTTCTGTCTGTTTTCCTACCTATCTGCCCTCCTGTCCCCGTCCCTCCCACCCTTTGTTTCAGAAGCTTTGTTTGCTGGGCACAACTGCTCACTAAGAGGAACCCCCATCCCTACCCCCAACACAATTTTATAACACACTTGTTTATAAACTGACTCTGAGAATCTCTCGGTCTCTATATTGCCTCCTTGAAGAGTCAAGCTAAGCCTTCCTTCAGGGCGACTTCAGCAAGTCAAGTGTCTGAATGCATTCACCCTAGGCTGCTATTTCCTTGTCCGCCCTGAGGCTCCAAACATCTGGCCACAGTTTTTCAGCCTCCTGGAGAACTATGGCTGCTTCTCTGCTTCCCATTTGTGGAGCATGGTTCAGAAAAAAAGGGACATAAAGAACCATTTCCCCGTAGGACCTTCTGCCAGCAAAGAGCAAGCCCTGGGCAGTGTTCGGAATTCCGTTCCCACTGTTTCTCCGTTCAGCTCCCATACCTTCCCCATGCACACACGGCCGGTACCTCTGTGTTTACAGCAAACCCACACGACTCTATCTTGTCGCCTTGGGTCCTAGCTACCACTTGGATAATCTCACCTAAAAAAATACTCACTTCTGTATCGCCCATGCTTCCTCAGGTTACTAAAAAACCAAAATCCTTAGTCAGGGTTCGAGATTAGCCTGGTCTACAGAACAAGTTCCGGGACAGCCAAGACTATAGAGAGAAACCCTGTCTCGAACCGCTCCCCAAATAAAATAAAATAAAATAAAATTCTCTGATGAACCATAAACAAAAGGGCCCCATTTCTCCGTCCTGTCTCTGCTGTTCTGTGACTCAAACAATTTCCTTAACGATAAAAGAAAGGGTCACAGCAATGTTGTTTTCCTAGGCATTGTCTGAGAATCGAAGGAAGAAACCATGTGTTGTCATGTTACACTATCACATGCTCAGGAGGTGTGAACATACGCAATGGGGTCACCTTCGTTATGTGGTCAGATGCTCAGCAAACACAAAGAGAAACCTTCTGCATACACTGACTTCCAGGCTCTCCCGCGGATCCCAACACTGAGCGATAGACAATTCAGGTCAACTCCCTCTTTTCCCTTTTTTCTAGCTAATGCTCCTGAGGAATAAAAGTCCTCCAGGAGAAGATCCCACCGGAAGATGTCCCTGGTGCCTTCGGGGTCACAGCAAGAGCCTGCCTGGACTCAGGTCCAACCCATTGTCTCACAGCTGAGCCTCTCGCTAAGTTCAAGGAGCTGGAGGGGACCGCTAAGTTGTCTCACTCGGCTTGGTTCATGTACCTCTAGCCCCTGTGATGCACCCTCCTGCCTCCCAGAAAGAGGTAAAGGTGGCAGCTGTGTTTGTGATACCCCTGTCTTAGTCATCTATCTGACGGCCCAGAGAGGTTCAAGAGGGGCGAGGGCCATATTTAGGATATCCACTCCCACCTGAATCTCAGATCACGACACGATTTCTTTCTGTGTAGCTTTGAAGCCTGAACTGGAACTCGCTCTGTAGACCAGCCTGGTCTCGAAATCACAGAGATCCGCCTGCCTCTGCCTCCTGAGTGCTGGGATTAAAGGCGTGCACCACCACCGGCTGGCATGACATGACTTCTAAGGCGAGTCTTTACAATATGAACTTATTATTTCACTCAATAGCTACCTACTGTCAGGACCTTCGGCCCACCCCTTCCCAGCGCACAGGGTCTGCTATTTTTTTTATTTATTTATTATGTGTACAGTATTCTGTCTGCAGGCCAGAAGACGGAACCTGATCAACACAGATGGTTGTGAGCCACCATGTGGTTGCTGGGAATTGAACTCAGGACCTCTCTCTGGAAGAGCAGGCAGTGCTCTTAACCTCTGAGCCATCTCTCCAGCCCCACAGCGTCTGCTCTTATAGGTTATTGATTTACCGCTTGCTCTGACCCCTTCTGCTTTCTCCTTGTTATACAGATCATCAGACAGACAGACAGCTGTTCATCTGTCTATGTGGGTCTGACTCCAGAAACAAATCAAGTGTACTTTAAGCAACAACAACAACAACAACAACTTAGATTGGTGCATTAAAAAAATCATTTCATTTTCTGTAATATAGAGAAAAAGTCCTGCCATGGTTACATCCCAGTATCTCCAATGCCCTGGCTGGCTTTGCCTCCTGCCGTGTCCACACACTTCCCAGACCAGCTGCAGTTTTCCTAGAGTCAGACTGTTCGGGGGCAACACTGGGGACACGCTACCACCGCTCCGAGATGCAAAGGTGATCAGAATCTGAGATTGTCCTACTATTTATTTATTTATTTATTATGTATACAGTGCAGGCCAGAAGAGGGTACCAAGTCTCATTACAGATGGCTGTGAGCCACCATATGGTTGTTTGGGAATTGAACTCAGGACCTTTGGAAGAGCAGGCAAAGCTCTTAACCACTGAGCCATCTCTCCAGCCCCATTGTCCTACTTTAACAAAGAGGGTCAGGAGCATGGCTGGGGCTTGCTGGCCTCCTGCTTACCTCCATGTTCAGGGAGAGACCCTGTCTCAAAAGAATAACATGGACAGTTATGGATCAGGCTAGGCAGGGTCCATTCTGGCCTCTGTGTATACGGGTACTTTGTACCTGCAGACAGACTTGTGAATACAATGTACATAGAGCTAGAGATAGACAGATGATAGATAGATAGATAGATAGATAGATAGATAGATAGATAGATAGATAGATTATAGATAGATGATAGGCAGATAGATGATAGATAAATGATAGGTTGATAGATGATAGACAGATGATAGATGATAGATAATAAGTAGATAGATAGATGATAGGTAGATGATAGATAGACAGATAGATCATAGATAGATGATAGACAGATAGATGATAAATAAATGATAGGTTGATAGATGATAGACAGATGATAGATGATAGATAGATAATAAGTAGATAGATAGATGATAGGTAGATGATAGATAGACAGATAGATCATAGATAGATGATAGATAAATGATAGGTTGATAGATGATAGACAGATGATAGATAGATGATAGGTTGATAGATAGGTTAATCATAGATAGACAGTAGGTAGATGATAGATATTAGGTAAATGATATATAATAGAGGCTAGGTAGATCATAGATAGATCATAGATAGCTAGATGATAGAGAGGAGAGAGTCAGAGTCAAACCAAGACTTTACGAACAACAGATTTCTGTCATTTCAGTTAAATTTTTAACACTGACTATTTTTTTTCTTCTACAGCATCTCATATGGATCAGAATGGCCTTGGATTTGCTTTGCAGCTGGCCTTGAACTCCTGATTCTGTTTTGATGGTCAGGTAGTATAGGTGTGGACTGTGACTCAAGGTTGTCTACATCCTAAATGGAAGTCAGTGTTCCTGTGGAAGCCTCCGGAGGGGCTGGGCTTTCTGGAAGAAGATGTAGCCTCCTCCCATTCTGGCCATCCTGTGAGCTCCTAAGCACAGATGCCAGGTGGCCCAGGACACACAGCAAGCATGGCAGGGACACTCTTTGAACTGTTTCTTTATCCTCGAGTTAAAGTCTATGGTTGTTCTGGGGCGTGCAGGTGCCCGCGGAGGCCAGAGTCACTGGATAGCCTGGAGCTGGCTTTACGGGTGGCTGTGTCTTCAGATCATGGGTGCTGGGAACCAAGTTCAGGTCCCCTGTAACAGCCGCTGAGCCATCTCTCCAGTTACCCCCATAGTGTTCTCTTACTAAGGCTTTCTTGTTGTTGTTTTGAGACAGGGCTTCTCTGTGTAGACCTGGAACTTGCTCTGTTGACCTCTTGTAGTTTTTACTGGCTTAGCTAATGGGTCATGGAACCATGGAGCCATAGGGGGGACCTGTTACTGTGCCTGTAACTGTGATCCTCCTGATATTGGACCTGGCCTCTCTGGAGAGAATGAATGTCTAAGGAGACACTTGTGCTCTCCTCTTTGGCTATAGAGTAATCAGAGTATTGAAAGGAAGGCCCCCAAGATATTAGAATTTCCCCAGAGGAAACAGGAGAAGACCTTGTCTCTCCCACTAGGACTGACTGTTTAGCTGGCCTTGCAGAGGGGGCCTGGAGCCATAGTGGGAATGGGCCATGGACCACACCTTTTGGAACCCACATATCTCCTGCTTCTAGTTACCCTACACTCATGTCAGGACCCCCAAAAGATAGACCGGGGGACACCACTGGACCTCTTTGTCTCCGTGCCCACACTGAATGATTCTCCCTTTTCTGCTTTTCACTATTAATTGGTTTATTGAGGATTGGTGGCAAAACCTGACTTCTTGGGACACAGGCTGTGACAATATACGAGCAGCTCAACAGGGATGACAGATAAAAACATCAGGATGGGTCTGGGGAGGGGGCTATGAGGCTGAGAGCTCTCACTGTTCCCAGCACCCACACGGCAGCTAACAACCATCCCAGAGGACCCAAGCCCTCTTCTGGTCTGTGGGGGTACTACGCACATGGGATGCACAGACACATACAGGCAGACGTCACATACTAAACAACAACAACAACAACATCACCACCTATCCTACTAGCTACATCCAGTCATTCAAACGAGGTGCTGGCGTACACTCTCAGCATTGGCAAGGTGGAGGTAGGCGATCCTAAGCTTGTAATGTGGCTAAACAGTGAGTCCGAGCAACATGAGACCCTGTACGGAAAACAAAACAAGACAAAATACCCTCCAAAATCAGTTCCACAGTGGTCAGAGGACCTTTCTGTATGTAAGCACAGTATCTTAAGGGACTTCTAATGCTGGTGGCTTTGAGTCGCTAGGTCTCTGAAGCCAGGGTCACAGGCTTGCTAACCAAGGGTTTTGCCCCTGAGCCCCAGCCTGCTACTGCACTGAACTCGTATTTAAGCTGTTATTAAGCAAGCCTCAGCTTGCTCAGCCTGAAACCGCATGATAAGAGAGAACCAGGTCCTGCAGGTTGTCCTCTGATCTTCACACGCACACAGGATCACACTTGTGCATGCTAACCAACCTAATGAAAGAAATAAAAAAAAAAAATCAAAACTAACATGGGTCCGTGAGATGCCTCAATGTTTGCTCCTGGCCCAGGACCCACGCGGTAGAAGGTGCGAACTGACTCCCAAAAGTCCTGTCTTTCACATGTATGTATACCATGGCATGCACATGCCCATGTATAAGTACGCATACAAAATAAATAAATAAATGCACTCAATTTTAATTAAAAGCAAAACAAAACAACAACAACAAGAAGCCAGGCTTGGTGGTTATTCCCAGCACTAGAGAGGCAGGCTGATCTCTGTAAATCTGAGGGCATCCTAATCTACACAGTGAGTTCCAGGCTAGCCAAGGCTACATAATGAGACCTTGTCTCAAGAAAACAAACAAGCAAACAAAATCCCCACAAAATAGGTAGCCACGAGTTGTTCTATAGTGAGGGCTCAGTTCCTGGGCGTGTACCAGCACAGAGGAGTCAACTTTCTTTTTCTCCTTTTTAAGATTATTTTATTTTATGTACATGATTCTTGCCTTCATGTATGTCTGTATATCACACGCATGCCTGTTGTCTATGAGATCAGCAGAGTGCACTGGATTCCCTGGTGCTGGAGTTGGGATGGTTGTAAATCATTGTGTGGGTGCGGGGAATTTAACCCACGTTTTCTGCGACTGCTCTGAACCCCTGACCCATCTCTCCAGCCTCAGATCAGTCAATTCTCAGGGGTGCAAAGATAACAGAAATTGTATCAACATTTGATAGATGGGTGACCTTGCTAAAACGACTTTATCTTTCTGAGGGGGTAAAGTCTAGAAAGGCATTTTGAGTAGCAGCGTTCTGCTGAAGGTGACGTGAACCAGACGCAGGAGGAAGCCACCGCTGCACTGCTTGGTAGCAGGGTGTCCCGGAAAAGCATCCTGGCATGGAGGCCACAGTGCTAAGAGAGATGTTTGCTGCCACTGTTTCAAGTCAGGGAACCAGGAGTCATTGTGGTCACACAGTTTACAGTGATGTGCTCGGCCAGGCAGGAACCCACCGGGTGCCAGACTGTCCCGGCCCTTCACTGGGCAAAGAAGCCAAGATGAAGAACGAGCAGAGATTCTCCTAATCACAGACGACAGTAACACTGGACACTGCTAAGAACGTGAAGGTCTCATGCATGAGGAAGAGCCCAGTACAAACCCACATCCTATTTCTTATCCTTCCTTCCTTCCTTCCTTCCTTCCTTCCTTCCTTCCTTCCTTCCTTCCTTCCTTCCTTCCTTCCTTCCTCCTCCTCCTCCTCCTCCTCCTCCTCCTCCTCCTCCTCCTCCTTCTTCTCTC